CTTGTAAGCTTTGATGTCATATGATCCTACTAGTCTTACGACCGCCCTTGACTGTTGAGTATACCAACTACCCCAGTATCGTGATTCCTATACCTAATACAAATGAGTCAGTACTGTAGTACATTAATTGGTCTATAAATAACTTCATTTCAATTCCATTCAATGAATTGTAGCCAGCTAGGGACACATATGTATGCTTCAATGATGAGAGGCACGTTCATAATCCTTGTGTTTGCTGTGGGAACTTGGATCAGTTCTGCTCATGCAAGGGCTTTGATAGGTAAATTGTCATATATGATTTGATACCAAAAAACATTCAATAATTGTATGTGTTCTTCTGTTAAATATATTTTTTGTGATATTTTAACTATTTCCCGTGGGCTGACAGATTTTAAGTTATAACATAGATTTAAAACTTAAAAACCCTAACTTAATGCACGTTGCCAAGAATAATATCAAAAAGTCGTAAAAATTGATCAAAACTGTTGTGAGTCGAAGCAAATGTAGAAAATAACAGGCGGGTCTAAGGGCGTCTGTATCCAGAAAAATAAAAATTAAAGAACATTCCGTTTACACTGGCAATCTATTTTAATCTAGAAACCATCAACTAAAATTATCTACTGATCTGCATTTACATGTATGCATGTTGCAGGAACTAATCCAAGGGATCAATCCATGAGGATAATCATATTTGGAAGGTCCTCAACCTCTGCTGCTATCTTGTCCCATCAGACAACAGTTGATGATCCTTCTTGTACGGAAAGTTCTCCTCTGCCTCCAAGCAAATCGCCGCCACTACCCCCTTTTACTCCTCCACCTCCAGACCCAGGACCTTCACCTCGACCGTCTCCTAGGCCAACGACATACCATGGTATTGTAACTGGTGGTGGTAGTCTGCGAGTGTCCAATGTGGCTTCATTTTGAACATCAAAATCAAGCCGTTCATAGATGATGAGGGTGGGCCGTACACCTTCTATTATGTATTTGCTGGTTTAATTAGAATAAGGACTAAGCTCTTTTCTAATTTACTTTAATTAGAATCATGTTTAGCTTAATCATCCAGTTTCACTTTGAATGCTAAAGCCATTCATCAACATGTCCCCTATGGAATATTCTTTCTGTTAAGCATGGTCGAAAGATAGTAATCTGGGTTTTATTTTAGAGATAAGAAGAATAAAGTAAAGCTCAATATATTTCTCTGAAAATGTTTTCTTACGCAATGAATGAAAATGATCTGTGTTAAAAGTTGTTAAGTTTAATTAGTTTTAATTAAATAAAGCTGACATAGCCATGAAGAGACCAAGTCAAGCTGAAGTCCTAGAATATAGAAGTTGTGGTTTAGTCTGTTTACCACGTTCAAATTTGCTTCCGTTGCTTAAGGTAGTTGAACTCCACAAAATCTGCACTTGTTGTGTTAGTGGTTATTGTGGAGATTGTTATTTTGTAAGCTTTGTTTTTCAGATATATATAAGAGAGGAAAACTGCCGTATCTCTGTACTGCGAAATATTCTGTTCAAGCATCCTTTACGTTTAAGTTAATTCCAGTTTTTAACAATCTGAACCAAGACTTAATATATATATATAGCTAACTAAACGTACATTGCTTCTTCACTAAGCTACGCATGCTAACAGTCTAACTAATCATGCTAATAAGCACGTGAACACCTTAACCAACATGCTAATTAACACGTCAAGCTAACAGCCTTGTCGTCTCATCTTAACCAATTGGACACCTTAATTGCAGCTGGGGGAGACCCAAGGCTGAGATTGGAGCAGTGTTTGACAAAAATGGGACTATGAAGGCTGAGATTGGAGCAGTGTTTTCCTATTTCAATTGAGAATGTCGGCAACTTGTTCATCAGTAGGAACATATTGAACAATGAGATCTTTGTTCTGAACTTTCTCACGAAAGAAATGAAAATCAATTTCCACATGCTTAATATGTGAGTGAAACACATGATTAGCACTAAGAGCTAAGCAGGACTGGAACTTCTGGAATGAACATATGCAGGTCACAGAAAACTTGTCAAATCGAGGAAATCTCTGCAGCACAATGAGCAAGAGCACAATACTCGGCTTCTGTGGAGCTACGAGAAACTGAAACCTGCTTCTTTGAAGACCAAGATATGGGATTATGACCAAGAAAAACAACATAGCCTGTGGTGGATCTGCGAGTATTAGGGTCTCCAGCCCAATCCGGATCACAAAACCCTAAGAGAAGCATAGAACCAGGGGAGAAAGTAATACCATACTGCAATGTTCCTTGCAGATACCTTAGAATTAGTTTGACAATACCAAAATGTACATCTGTAAGAGTATGCATAAAAAACAGAGCATTTCCAGTACAAAGTTGCTCTTTTTTTTCACGGTATCTCCGATTAAGTATGGTCTGTTTTTTTTAAAGAAGGAATGGCTCTGTTTAGTAGTGACAAAAATTGACCATTTGTAACCCCATCTCAATCGAAATTCTCTCAACCCAATTTATGTGTTTTATTAGGGTTGAGTATACGTAATTTATAGTCGCTAAGATTCTTCCATTATGCTACACACTACTTATTTAAACCCCGCGTCCCCAACCAATTCAGCTTTCAATATATACTAGCCATTTGACACGCACTTCCCGCATATTAATTGACTCTATCCAACTCCACTTACATGTGGGTGACGGGTTCAATGGTCCAAGTATCTGTTCATGGCTTGTTCATGGCTTTCTCCCATGTTTAACTTCGACTTTTCATTACTAGTGCGAATAATCGATTGCTTAGATTGACTTTTATTTGAGTTGAACAACCAGCAACCATTGAATTTCAAGCCATATAACCTCTATATAATTCACATATGATACGGTCAACAATCACAAACAAACAATAGAAGTAGTCTCGTCTCAAACTGCAGGGGATATATATATTCAATGATATAATAAGGTAACCAAAATAATAATTTATATGCGTTATATTTTAAAAGTCATATATTCGCATTAATTATGGTGAGAATGTCGGCAACTTGTTCATCAGTAGGAACATATTGAACAATGAGATCTTTGTTCTGAACTTTCTCACGAAGGAAATGAAAATCTATTTCCATATGCATAATACGTGAGTGAAGCACAGGATTAGCACTAAGAGCTAATGCTGATAAGTTGTCACTACAAAAAACAACATAGCCTGTGGTGGATCTGCGAGTATTAGCATCTCCAGCCCAATCCGCATCACAAAACCCTAAGAGAAGCATAGAACCAGGGGAGAAAGGAATACCATGCTTCAATGTTCCTTGCAGATACCTAACAATTCGATTGACAATACCAAAATGTACATCTGTAGGAGTATGCATAAACTGACAGATTGTGTTAACTGCAAAGACTATGTCTGTCGAGTAAAAGTTAAGTATTGAAGGGCACCTACAATACTGCAATAGAGTGTAAAATCAGCTAGCAATCATCTTTCAAAACTTGAGGGTGTGCTACAAGGTTTACATGTGTCCATTGCAGCTTTCTTTATTAAATCTTGATTAACAAACACTTTTCCATTAGCTTGATATTGTACCTCGAGACCAAGAAAATACTTAAGCTTGCCCATATCTTTGAGTTCAAATACTTCTCCTAGGTCCTGAATAACAGAGGATACAAGCACAAAGTTTGACTTTTCTCAATGCCCATATTACCCCCCAAAAATATCCCTTTTTATTTCTTATTTACCATAAAAAAAACACTCTCTCCATTTATTGGACCACAGTTATTTCTGAAATTCCCAATATTTAATACGAGAAATTAGTGTGTGGTACTGAAGGATAGGTTACGTAGTATAACTTGTTCGCGCGTTCTAATACGGATCAATGATAAGGTTGATATTTCCCACTTTTAGAATATATTATCAATAAATATTCACTTGTATTATAACATGTGGACGAGTGATACCATGTGACCGAGTTCAAAAAAAAGAAAAGAAAAAGAAATAGCAAATTTTAAGTGGAAGTATCACGAGCTGACTTGGTGCACTGTACACGTGGTAATTTCTCCATTTTTGGAGTTTATATCAAAATTTTCGTTACTGATCATGCTGAAATCAGCTGATTTCTTGAGGTGGATAGTGTGACTTTTCTCAATGCCCATATTACCCCCAAAAATATCCCTTTTTATTCTTATTTACCAAAAAACAATTTCTCCATTTATAGGACCACCGTTATTTCCAAAACTCCCAATATTTCATACGAGAAATTATTGTATGGTGTCGTAGTATAGTGACGCAGCGTGTGATAGCAAGAATGATGAAGAATACAAAAGAAAACAATAAACCTTCAATCCTTTGTGATTCTCTAGATGAGAATAACCAAGAACAAAGGGGTTCTATGCTTTGTTGATTCCAGTGGAATACCAAGTTGATAGGAAAATAGAGAGAATTCTCTAAGTTTAATATTCAATGTCAAAAACTATCTTACAATTAGCTATAAAATAGTTTTTGTACTTAAGGAAAACAAACCAAACTCCAAACCCTAGCTGAAATAGGAAAACAAACTTACTTCCTAAACCAAACTCCCAATTCTAATTGAAATAGGAAAACAAAACTATTTGCCTAAAACAGATTCCTAGAACATTAATTGCACATCTTAAGCTTGTCAAACTGAACCAGAACATTATGAGCGATGCATGCTGCATCATCCTCCTCGTGTTTGAGAAGAATTCCTCCCCAAATTCAAATCTTCCTCGTCAAAACTATCACCATAGTAAGGAAAGAGATGTTTGACATTGAACACATCGGCAGTACGTATATGACTAGGAAGCTTGAGGTGGTAAGCGTTTGGATTAATCTTAGCCACAATCTCCATTGGACCAATCTTTCTTACACCCAACTTGTTGTATTCCCTAGCCAGAAAATGATCTTCAGTCAAGATAGCCCAAACAAAGCCACCTACCTCAAATTCAACATATCGGCGTTTCACATCAGCCACTTGCTTGTATTTCGAATTGGCATCCTCAAGCCGCTGCTTTGTTGTTGAGTGAATTTGTTGAAGTGTAGCCACAAATTTTTCTGCCTTGACATTAACTCACTTCAAATATGGAACTGGTGCAAGGTTAAGAGGACACTTTAGGTTATAGCCATAAGTAACAAAAAAATGGACTGAACCTAGTGGTCCTATTGATAGAGTGATCGAAAGAAAATTCTGCTTGGCTCAACTTTTGATCCCATGACGTCAAATTATCTCCCACCAAGCTTCTTAGTAAATTTCCAAGGGATCGATTGACAATCTGCCCATCAGTTTGAGGATGGTAGAGGCCCTACTAAAATTTAATTTTGTATTAGCAAGCTTCCAGAAGCACACAATAGAGTAGGCAACCCATGGAGTCGATACATTTCTCGAAAGAAAAGCTAGGCTACATTGATTGTGTCCGTAGTCTTCTTGCACGGGATAAAATGAGTCATCTTAGAAAATTGATCAACTTGTGATGGCTTCTTCAGATATTACGTTTTCGCAACTTCCGAGGTCAATTACCAACTTGTATGTCTTGCCACCAATAGTACAAGTGGTCTGGAAAATATTATTGCGAAGCCAGCCATCACTACCTTCTGTTTCACGAGGAGTAAAACAAGTTCTTCTCACCATAAGCAATGGGCCATCATCCCAAATCACATAATCCTCCACAACATCATTGGGTTCATCATCATAAACCAGACCATGTTCGAAATCATGATACTCTTGAAATTGATTTTCATCATGTTCAATGATTAAACCCTTACCAACTCTATCTCCTTTCCTGTCTTCTGCTAAGTGATGTCCAGTTTTCCCGCACTTAAAACAACGAAAAGCAGTACGTTTGGGTCCCACAGTTTGTGCCTTGCTAGAGGGGGCACTCACGAATGACTTCTGGTTATGAACTAGTGAAGTAGAAGCACGAAAAGGGGCTGAATTGCTTCCTCCACCATGGTTATTCTGGCTATTTCCAGACCAAGCCCCTCCATTATTTGCCTTTCGACTCATATGTTTCTCCAACTGCAAGGCTCTTTGTTGCGCCTCCACTACTAAGAATGGATCGAAGAGGTTCGAGGTATATCACGATGCTAACTGCTTATCTGTCTCAGAAAGGTCACTTCTAGCCACTAACTCATAAAATTCGGTGGTATACTCAGCCACCGTACGATTTCCTTGTGTCAAATTTTGAAGTTGTTGATACACTAATTTTGAGTAATTGGGTGGTAGAAAGGTTGACCGCATATGCTTTCTCAATTTTTCCGAAGTTTCAATCTTCTCTTTTCCCTACTGCAAAAGGGCTGCCACCATGCCCACAAAATTTGGTTGCTACAAGGGAAACTTTTTTATTTTCAAGAACATCCTTAAACTATAGTACCTCTTCTACAGAATTAAGCCAATCAAGAAAATTCTCAGGTTGAAAGCTGCCATGAAATTCATGAATATCAATTCTCAAACCCGCTTCCCAACACCTCGTACCATAATTGTCATTGTGTCGAACCTCGTCCCTGTGATTTTCTTAACTAA